ACTCCTGGGCAGCCCATCGGGCCTGTCTATACTTAAGACAATATTTAATTATGTGGGCTGACCCTGATCCACACGTTGCTGCCAGACTCTCTGATCTAGACCCAAATCTTCCCATGGCCTGCCCTGTGGCAAGCCTGGGTGCCATCCTCCTCTCCTTTGAGGTGATCCTCCACCTCGTCGMTGTGGCGACCGACTAGGACCCTGGCGATTTGGCGGGGGACCTTGACCCCTACCTCCCTCTTGACGGCTCTTTGGGCCACCAACCCCCTGAGCGCCCTGTCCTCGGCCACCATAGGCCTGGCCCCTTTGGCCCTGGCCCCCTCTACCTTGCGGCCTCCCTCCAGCCGCGACAGCAGCATAGGTCCTCCCCTGGCCCACACCACTGTCCTCCTCCTCGAGTCCCCACTCTATCTGGCTGTAGGAGACCTCATCAGTACCACCTTCTTCTAACGTGAGGATCATATGATCCTTGGCTCTAACCTTACCAGAGATGGTACGCCCTTTCCACTTTTTCCCCTTATCTAGGTCCTTATGCCAGAAAGTGGACACTGGCATGGACTTTGCTTCATACAATACCACCTCTCTACTCAATGCGTCATACGTCATGGTGGGCTGTTGGCTTTTGTCAAAGAAATGCCCTCGTAAGGGCTCTGGCATGGCACGATAGAAAAGTTGGACCAGTTGGGCCTCAGTGACCCCATAGTCCGGGACGGCTACCAGCTCGTCTATAACCGCTTTGAGTGCTCGTGCACTCCTCCACTGTCGTGAGTGGATAGTTTGGAGTTTATCAGAGGCCTTAACGCCCCTTCGGAGATCAACAAATCGCTCCCTGAGGAGCTTGAGGAACTGAGGGAGGGTGGTGACTTTGGAATATGCGACCATGTTGTTCTCATAACTGGCCGCGCGCGCAAGGGATTTGGCGAAACTGGTCGCTTCGTCCTTCAGGGCGTGGAAGGCTACTAGGACCTGTTCGTCCTGTACAATGTGCTATAAGTAAACATAGCTGTTCACACTAGCCTCCCAATTATTGAAATTCTCTTCAGGCTTCCCGCCATACGCATCTGGGAACTTGAGCTTTCAGGTTCCTTGCGGGGTCTAGCCTCAGTCTCAGCGGCGGCTATAGCTTTAGCGCCTTCCAAGGTGCCGGTACAAAATTTCTCTGCACCCTCTTTCAGTCTTTGGACCTGTGACCCCATATGGGTCACAATATCGCGCGCAAAGTCTCGAAAACCCAGTCGAACGGGGTGCAGGGCCATATCTTGGCCCTGACTGGTTAATTGCTGCTCGGTCCAAGCCTGACCCAAAATCTCTATGTTGGTCAAAACCTTATCTAGCTTAGCCTGGATATCCTGCTGGGCTTCTACTTCCCTCCTACAGGAATGCACCTTCTCCATCTCTTTTGCCATCCGACTGACTTCCTCCCTCTTTCTTTTCTTCTCCCTCGCCAGACGCAATTTCCACTCTAGCTTCTTTTCATTCTCTAGCACATGGCGGTCCAAGGGATTGTCCATTGCCTCAAACTCCCTGACTACAGCATCCTTCTCCTCCTGCGGAACATATAGCATCGCCTCCTCTTCTTCTCCCACACTTAGATTAGCTACCCACTCACTAATCTTTTTCTCAATCCAGGGATCTTCTCCCTTTGTGCCACTGATTTCTCCTCTTTCCCTCGTACGCCTCCTTTCGAGGGGTTCTGCTTCTTCTTCTTCCTCCTCTTTGGCTGTCACTTCTTCTTCAGCAGCCTTCTTCTTCTCTTCCTCCTCTTGTTGGAGTCTTCTCAGCTCCTCCTCCAACTTCTTCTTCTTCACTGCCTGCTCCTCCTCAATGGCCTTTATCTTCGCCTGCCTGAGGAGCTCCTTCTTCTGTTTTCTCTCTCTCAAAGTGGCGGCGATCCGGGCCTGCTCGGCCTCGGATTGGGGGGCAGTACTCTTCCCACTACGGGTGTCAACCATGGTGATAGGTGCACAACCAAACAATGGTTTCACTCCTCACCACTTAGACTCTACGCCCCCTGACTAACAAACCTACTGACTCAATTCTAAAAGACCACAGAATCTTGGACAAGATTCTGTCAACTAGGGTCACTAGCCTAGACCTCAACTATGGCTGTCACTACAGGACTTCACTGTTGATCAGGAGGCATTTAAGGAGATCCCCCATAACTCCTCAGGAATTCTTTAATGCCGCAAACAGGACGACGCGATCAGCAAGTCCTCTCAAGACGTAGAAGGCCTGTTGTGTAGCCCACAACTCGGATTTTGGGCCTACCGTGCCACACCGAGCAGCCCGCCGGTCAGTACCGGTCCTTAGGAGGGTTCGTGTCCTCTGGGACAGTCGAGTCGTCAAACACAGTCTTTAGCCCTACTCAGCCCGTATGGGTTTGGTCAACAAGGCCCTATCCTTCATCCACAGAGTTCCTATCACTTGGATAGAAGAGACTCAATGCAGAAAGAAGAGACAGACAGACTTGACTCAGCAAGTACCACAGGGTGTGTGCACATCCATAGGGCGAGGGGATAGGTTGAAGGGTTGGCGAGATTATATCGGTTCCAGCTTGGTCAAATTTGTGGTCAACAGTCTTGGTCAACGCTTGGTCAACGCTTGGTCAACGCTGTGGTCAACCCCTGGTCAACTCCCGGACAATGCCTGTCAACACCCGGTCAACTCTCCCGGTCAACGCCTATCAAACTCGGTCAACACCCAGTCAACGCCCGTCAGCTCCGGCTATGGCTGCCGGCTTCTCTCTCCCACACCGACCTTCTCTATCCTTTCTTTTTCCTCGCCTCCTTTCACCCCGGCTATCTTCTTCTTCCTTTTTTTTTTTTTTTTTTTTTTTTTTGTACTCGTCTCTGTCCTTCCTCCGCTTCACTTCTCTCCTTTCCTTAGTCTCCCCGTCCGTCTCTCTCACATCCCGCTTCTTCTTCACTCCGTGGTTCGAGCTCCGTGACTATGGCCGCCTTCTACTTCGTGGACCACACAACGATCTTCCAGGTATGTGACAACCAATCTTCTCTCTCTCTCTCTCTCTCTCTCTCTCTCTCTCTCTCTCTCTCTCTCTCTCTCTCTCTCTCTCTCTCTGTTACATGTTGCGCCTGCAACAGGCTGCACGGTCATTTTCAGGCCCATGTCATTTTCAGCCTGAAAGCCTGAAAACAAGGGCTTATAGGCCTCATGTCAGTTTCAGCCTGAAAGCCTGAAAACGAGGCCCTACAGGCCCCGTGTCTGTTTCAGCCTGACAGCCTGAAAACCAGGGCCTACAGGCCCCGTGTCTGTTTCAGCCTGACAGCCTGAAATCCAGGGCCTACAGGCCCCGTGTCATTTCAGCCTGACAGCCTGAAAACAAGGGCCTATAGGCCCTCAGGCTTTGGCCAGAAGCTACCTGGAATCTTCCCGGAAGCTTCCTTAGGCTTTAGCCAGAAGCCACCTGGAAACTTCCAGAAGCTTCCTCAGGGTCTAGCACGTTTGGGCATTGGCAAGGGCAGCCCCTTGAGGGGCCAGCACTATATAAGACTGGCCCGCCCTACAGGCAGGTAGGTAGTTCGTACGGACTGGCCAGGTACTTCACGTGCAGTTCAGGCAGGAGGCAGTAGTCTTCAGGATTCGGCCGCAGCACTCTGGAGGGAGCACTGCAGGGAGTAGTAACAGCGTTAGCCTTTAGTCTTCAGTGCTGGGCGCAGTAGGTAGCTGTAGTCTCCAGCGCTGGGCGCCATAGCTAGGATAGCACTAGAGAGAGAGAGAGATTGGGCGGAGGCCATAGGTACTTACCTGCAGCGCCGTTGCTCCAGCTTTGTCTTCGAGGTACCTGCAGCACAGCGCCAACATCACAGGTTAGTCCTGGCTCGTAACAGAGAGAGAGAGTTCTTCTTCTTCCTCTTCTCAGTCCACCATCTCCCTCTCACCCTCTCATCATCTGACTTCACTGTATTTGCAGACTACAAGAGAAGAGAGAAAGAGGACTTGTGACAAAAACTTGGTGTTGACAACATTCCCATCTCTCCCTCTCCTCTTCGTCTGATCCCCTCCTCTTCGTCTATGTATGTCTGGACCTGGCGCCTCCTTCCTGTGTACAGCGCCAGGCTCCGTCACACTTTGTGATGGATACGATGTATGTTTTGTCTGCGTTCAAACACTGATTGGGCTAGTTATTATCATTCTAGCATTCTGCTTCGCTATCTGATACTACGTGAATGAGGTCAGTCCCGGGCAGGTCAGGCTTTGTATCTAAGTCTTCCGCTGTGCTATTCAGCACCATTTTGTATGTATCGGAATGCACATTGCTTGTTGAGATCTACTTGCACTGCATTGTCCATTCAGTCCTTTTTATCACATTGCGGATCCTCGGTTATTATGTACATCGCCCATCTGGGCATGTAACAGTTGGTATCGGTGCACCGCACGTGAATCAGGACAACCTGATCTGACACGTGTGCGGGGACTAGGTAGCTGATTTGTCTTTATTGATTGATTAGAGCACACTTGTTAGCCGGGTTAGCCCCCAAATTCACGATTTTGACCTTACTACCGAAAATCGATTTTTTTTTCTTTTCTTGGATTTTGTTTTCTCGCTATTCTGTTGTGGAAAATCGCAATAGCGCAACATCTGAAATTTCGTTGTTGAAAATCCGGAATATCTTCCTTTTCAAAAATTTTGATTTCCTGTTGCATTTCCCGTTACTTGGAAATTCGGAATATCTTCTTTTTCGAAATTCTTTTTTCTGAAAACGATACGGGAAATCCCTCCTGCAGGTATTATTTTCCAAACTGCGAATATTCTCATCTGAGAAAATCCGAATACTTCTGAGTACGGATCCGGGCCGCCCGGTCGACCAGCGCCTGCCCGGGGGAGGTCCCGGGCGGCCTGGCCGGGCGGGCGGCCCGGTTGGGGGCCGGGCACCCCCAACACACCTTGTCGGGGGGGGGGGGTTAGACCCCGAATCGCCATCAGCTAAGGTCCCCAGGGCCTACCGGGTCCAACCAGGCCTGAAAAAAGGCGAGTCGGGCCCGTGAGGCCAGCTTTTTTTTTTTGAAATTGTGACAGCCCTCCGGCCGTCAATCATCCATGATCGACGACCAGAGGGCCGTTTGATGTTTGGAGGGAAAACGACGACCCGTTTGAACAGCCGATTGGCTGCCGCGGCCTGCATCGGTTGTCCAAACGGGGCCTTGGTCTTCCCCCGCCGGCGCAGTTCGTGGTTCAGCCGCCCGTCGTCGTGGAGCCGCCCGTCGCCATCGCCTGGGAGCTTCACTCCCCCGTTGCCGTGGACCCCCCCGTCGCCCGTCGCCAGCGTCTTGGAGTCGCCAGCGCCGTGGAGCTGCCCGTCGCCCGTCGCCGTGGAGCCGCCCGTCCCCCTCTCATCATCATCTTCTTCTTCTTCTTCTTCTTCTTCTTCTTCTTCTTCTTCTTCCTCTCTCCTCCTCCTCCTCTTCCGACTATCTTCTTTTTCTTTTTTTTTTGT